GTCCGTCTGCTGCTTATTAAGTTTCACAGCACTTGCTACAGAGCCACCAGTGGATAACTGACAGAACTCAAACAGGCCATCAAATGCTGGACAGTCCTCACCAACGTTGAATCTCTGCATCTGCTTGCTGTACTCAGGCATGTTATCCGGACGGATGGAGCGCAAGAACTTAATGTAGTCATCGCTGTGGTACTTAGTCATCTCCTCAGCATTGGCCTTGTGAGGGCGATAGATTTCCATCTTTCGGTAGAGGCCATAGTTGAGTAGCAGATTGTGAGTCATGCGGATTCGGTGAGGCTTCATTGGATGGCCTTGTCCATAATAGTAATTTCCAACATCCCCATCATAGTAGTAACAGACTTTCCTCCTGGTGCCCTGAGTCTGCGCCATCTTGCTGCCTCCAGTCCCTTCAGTCCTGCCTTATATTTTTAATACATAGAAGAGAGGATTCGAGGTTGATGTTGAGACAGGGTCTTTTTTTTTTTTTTTGTCTAATTGAGACAGGGTCTCACTATGCAGTTCAGGCTGGCCTTGACCTCACTTTGTGCCCCAGGCTGGTTTTGAACTAGCGACAAACCTCCTGCCTCAACCTCCCAAGTGCTGGGACTACAGGCATGCGTCATCATGCTCAGTGAGACAAGGACTTGCTGTATAGTTCCAGCTGGTTTGAATTCATTCATAGCCTCTGCTGGCCTCAAACTTGAAGCAGTCCTCCTGTCCCAGCGTCTGGAGTGCTGGGATTACAGGTTTGCACTGCCATTTAGCAGAGAGAATATGATTTGAAAGAAGGTCTAGTGTTCCAGGGCTTTTCAATATTCATCAGTTTTTTTCATGTTTCTCACTTTTATTTATGAAAAAATGTTAGTGTAGATGTGTTGTTTGAAGAGGTCGTTGCTTTTTTTCCTGACAATTTATCACTGTAACTGATCTCGTAGGTTCTAATGCCTTCTCAAGGTCCTCCTGACAGCCTGGAGTTCACCCCAGCCATGTTGGAGAGAAGCCCAATTCACAGTGTCACTGAGTGGAGCCCAGAGCTCAGCACCCCGGCACTTCCCACCATTGCTGTCGCCCCTGGAGCTTCCACTTCTGAGCACCCCATATCTCCCAGGACAGGTAACTTTTGGGCATCTGCCAGGGGCCAGAAACAGTGCTGTGTCCTGGGAATAATAGGTGTGTTGGGCATTGTCTTTCCCTCAGTGGCTTGATGGCCGAGGGAGAGGAGACTGACAGGTAGCTGGGTGGTGTGATGCTGCCCTTGCTCCTGGAGGGAGAGAGACGGAGGGAGGTGAGCAGGACCTTGAATCTGGGGCAGCTTTTTAGGCTTCTCATCTTGTCGGGGCACCAGTCTTACAGGGTTTGTCTTTACGCCCTTCCTCCCATTCATTGCAAGACAACAGACATGGAAGAGCTCCTGTGACAGTCTGGGTGACCTGGACAGAGGTCATTATTCCCAGGAGTGAGTAAAGAGAAGGGCAAAGTATGAACCTAGAGTGTTAAGATAGGGACGATTCTGAAAAGTCGCGTATTTTGTGCTAAGGAGTATGTGTTTTATTGGATAGGCATAGAGAATATCTGAATGACCTTAAGCAGGGAAAGAAAATGATCAGATTTGTATGATGAAAGCAGCATGAAGTTGACCCAAGGTAGTAAGATTCATTAAAAGTGTATAATGAGGCTGAGTATGGTGGCACATACCTGTAAATCCGGTAGTCTTGAAAATGCGCCCCAAAGCTGTCCCAGTGGCGGCTGTATCTGTAGCTTTCAGCCCCGAGCAGGGCTGGTCAGTGCCTCCCTGGATAGGAGCTGGTGGGTGCTGGCAGAGTTAAACTGTCTTGTAAGAACAGGCTTGGGGGCTGGGGAGATGGCTCAGTAGAATAAGTGCTTGCCTGAAAAGCTCAAGGGCCTGAGTTCAATCCCTAGTTCCACCAAAACAAAACAAAACAAAACAAAACAAAACAAAACAAAACAAAACAAAACAAAACAAAGAAACAGGCTTGGGTATGTGTGGGAGGAGGGGTCTGTTCTCCAGAAGGTCAGCAGGAGTAAAAGTTTCAAAGATCATCTGTACAAACTGTGAGCCAAAATATATCTTTCCTTCTTAAAAAAGAAAAAAAAGTTGCAAAGGTTCATGTGCTGAGTGGGGGTGGCCACAGCCACTTCAGTGGCTCAGCTGTGGATGTGTCTGAGCTCTGATCAGCAGTGCCCTTCTCAGCCCATTAAGGGCCCTACTCCATTTTATTTCATTATTTATTTTGATCTGAAGCTTCAGGGGAGAAGTGGATAATGGTAGAAGAGAAGCTGTGTAATATGTGGAAAAAGAACTGGCCTTGAAATTAGGTTCCTTGGGCTCTTGTCAATAGCTGTAGTCAGTAGGAAATAACAACTCTGCTTTAAAGGAAATCTACAAAAATAAAGGAAGTGAGAAAATACTTTATTCTTAGCCAACTAAGAGTGGCCCAGAAACTCACATTACTTTGAATGACGTGTGGAAAGAGGCTACATGAGCTTTTATACTCAGAGAGCAGTCGTAAGTCGGTCCACTCAGCAAATGCCCTGCTGGGCTCAGCTGTCTCATAATGGCATTGTTAGCTTAGGATTGGCGCGGGCTTGAGGTCGGCGTAAGTTCAGCCACACATTCCAGGACACTCACCTCATAGTCGAGAGACTGCAAGGTCAGACACGAGGGCTGAGGTAACTAGGTATTTTTCTAGAGGGCCTAAGATAGTCCAAGATAATTTTGGCTCTGAATGTACCATGTTCTGTCTCCAGTGTCATGATGTCCCAGTAGGCAGGGACCAAACATTCTGTAGGGCTGTCAGACAGATGTGTGTTTTTCAGACAACTCCAGCTTCTCACTACTGCATAGGGGGAGGAGTAGACGAACCCATTATTTTGAGGCCTTCGGAATAGTGTCCAGCATAGTTCTATCTGCACGGTAAGGGTTCACTGAAAGACACATTTAAATTAAATACTGGTGGGCCTACTCTTAACTATCCCTGTAGCACTGGACAACTTTGCCCTTTTAGGGCTCATTTTCTTTGTCATAAAATAGAGACCTAGACCTCTGTCCTTGCTGGGTCCCCACTGATGACTTCCAGGGCTGAGTCAGTGAGCATGGGGGAGCCCAGGAGCTCCTCTGTCGCTGGCCTGATGACACCAGCGGGTAGAGGTCATGGGTGAGGAGGGTGTGCTGGAGAGACCGGCTCCAATAACAGTTGCTCCTGAGACTCCTGGAGATCACTCAGCTTTGTTGTTGATTTTTTTAAAAAAAACTTTGCTTTTCTCTGTGTGAACTATTGATATGACACCTAGCCTTACAAGTGGAACTAAGGTCGGCTTGAGCCAAACCATCAGCCCCATACTATGACTGAACACTGAAATCCCCATTATAAAGCACAGTTTCCTAGGCTGGGTTATTGGTCACATGCTTTTGATGTAGTCAGCATCCATGCTGCCTGAGTTACAGTAACCTGCCCGTGCTGCGGTCCTCTGGGTTTTCCCTTGGAAGGCTTTCAGGTGTAAGCCCACTAGTGGTCATTCATGAGGTTCCTGTCAGAACTGAGTGGTGTGTGACTAATAACAGAGACACTTACAACTATAGTCTTTTTATCACTAAGGATGGCACACTGCTGGGTGTGGAGGTGTAGGCTTGTAATCCCTGCGTTCTGGAAGGCTAAGGCAGGAGGACCACGAGTTTGAGCCCAGCCTGGGTAACTTAGTGAGATCATATCTTAAAAAAATAATTAATTAATTAAAGTTAAAGGGCTGGGGATGCATCTCAGTGTGAAGGCCTTGGATTCAGTCCCTGGTACTGCCAAAAAGTATGTAAAGAAGGAGGAGATCTGGTAGTAAGGGAGAATACACCGCATCCGTAGTGCCTGCCTGTCCTGTGAGACCGCTTGCCCCGCACAGTTGGGGCCCTCACCGTCTTCTCAGTGTCCACTGTGTCGATGGTTTGAAGGTAGAGTCTGTCTTGCAGCATGGTGTAGGGCACAATCAGCTACTCAGGCAGAGGTAGATAAAATGATAGGAAGAATGATTGCAAAAATGTACAGTTTTATGTTTTAAAGATTCTTAAAACAGATCTGTTCTGGGACAGTATATAAATCATCACATTACCTAATGGCATGTGTTGTTTCTGATTAACCCGTAGCCCGGTTGCTGTTGGTGTCTGCTGGTGATAACCTCCTTCTCACCTTACCCCAAGACTCGGTGGAGCTGAAGGCATTGGTTGTGCCAGAGCCCCCACCAGGTCAGAGCTTGCCTACCCTTGGGGACTGCTAGAGTATGTAGGGCTGGGATGTCTAGCACCATCTTTATAGATTCTTTATAATGCCGAATCATATCCACAACACTCAGTGACATTGCAAACCAAGGATCGAGGGTGGAAGACAAAGCCTTGTGGTCATGAGCATCAAAGCTTATTGGAATAGTTTTAAAAGGAAGGAAAGCACAGGGAATTAAATGTGGAGCACATACTCGCGATGGACAGGGTGAAAGTCAGTAAGTTCTGATGATACAAAGCAGAGGGTCCCTTTAGAGCAGGAGTGCTTGTCATTGACCAGGTCCTGGTCCGCAGTGACCAGAGAGCCTGAGGTTTCCAGTGGGAAGACGGAGAGGTGGCCACACATCCACAGTACCTTTTCGTCCTCTCTGTTTTCCTGTTTGGTGACTGTCTGACCTATCCCTGTGGCCTGTCAAATGCACTCTGAAGATTTTTCACTATTCCTTTTAGTGTACATAGGTTATACAGATGAATGAGGGGTTATTATTATTTTTTTTTTACAGATTTATACATGCACATAACTTGACCCCGCATTTCATACTTTTTTGGAGTTCAATGTATACATTTTTTAAATTATATTCTTGTCCCTCATTACCTACCCTGACACATTACTTCTTCCCTTTTCCTCCCTTCCTCTTGTCTAATCATGGTTTTCTTTCTTTTTTTTTTTTTTTTTTTTGGCGGAACCGGGGATTGAACTCAGGCCCTTATACTTGCCAGGGAAGCGCTTATTCTACTGAGCCATCTCCCCGGCCCCTATAATTATGGTTTTCGTGTCATCTTTTTTATGTAACATTTGCCTTTCTAAGTTTGACTTACTTTGGTCCGTATGACAATTTCCAGATCAATTCATTTTTCTACGAATGACAAAATTGTGACCTTTTAGTAACTAAATAATGCCCTGTTGTGCACATATCACACATTGCCTGTTCATCTTTCTCCCTATCACATATAGGCCAAAATTTTGTAAACAGTGGTAATATCTGAATTTGAGTTTCAATCACCTGAAATGAGACACCTCATATTTACTACTACCTGAAGGTGGGAGACAGCTTTGGCTTAACATGGATGCTTAATTTATTTCTGTGTCCTTAAACCCCTTCAAAGGGCAAGTGAGTTGAAATCTCCGTGCCTTTTATGAAAAGGACAAGAAGTACAATGGATGATATTGTTAAGTTGATCTGGATAGTCAGGGGTAGCACCCTGGAAACAAAGTCCTTGAGTGCTAACAGTGACATTAGGGAGGGTCTGCATATTTTCTACATTTTATGTTAGTTGTATGTTTGTATAATAAAAAAAAAATGCTACTTTTAAAAAACATGGGAACTTTGTTACTCACTACTTGGATAATGGGTAAAAGGAGAGTGTAGTAGCTCTAAGCAGTGGTGGCGGACCAGTGGCACAGGTTCTTGAAAAGGCTCCCCATCATGGACCTAAGGTGCCAGGACTGCTAAGCGTGGAGCTAACATCTCCTTCCCCTCGGCCCAGGCTCTGAAGTGGCCTCTCAGAATGGTAACTCCTCCTGTTTCTGATTTGCTCCCAGATACAACCTACAACTATGAGTGGAGCTTGATAAGCCACCCTGTGGGCTACCAAGATGAACTCAAGCTGGGAAACACACAGACTCTTAAGCTGTCTCATGTAAGTGCCCGCAGTGTGTTACGTTTGGCAGCATACCACGGAGTCCAGTTAATACTCTCAGCTGCTGAACCCAGAATTTACTCTTATGATTAAGGGCAAAGGAAGAAGGTGGGTGTGATAGTGCACACGTCCAGTCCCTCCTACGTGGGAGACTGAGGCAGGAGGAAGCCCAGGAGATAGAGGCGGTCTTGGCAACGTAGTGGGGCTATGTCAGAAAGAAATGAAAAGAGGACAAGCATAAATTTTGAAGCATGTAAGTAGACAGGGAGATGGTTAACGCAATTGGCTTTTGCATAGCTTTTCTTCATTTAAGTTAGCTGGTGCCCAGCCCCGTCTGTTCTGACAGTCTTTGTAGCAATAGAGACGCTCTTATCTCCGTTCCCAGTCGGGCACATTTCCAGAGCTGCCCTCAGTGCCATTCCAGGTTTTATCTATGCTTTGGTGCCAGATGCTCCTCCAAGAGAAAAGGCCTTCACATGGAGAAACAGGGCTCTTCCTGGCGCAGCTAGAGAAATGAATGGGCCCTGCTGCTTGGGTGCTGGCTTCCTATCCAGTGCCCTTGGTGTCTTCCTTTGAGCCTCTCCGTGTCGCTGGACCAGAAATTCATGACGCCGGGTTGGGGACGCCACTCAGTGGTAGAGCACTTGCCTAGATTCACAAGGGCCTGGGTTTGATACCTAGCACTGAAAATTAAAACAACAACAACAAAAAACAACTAAAACAAAGGCAAAGTTGGCCCATATATGTTATATGGGAACTGCTGTGATGTCTGTTGCTAAGGTAAGGAATGGCTTGTCTTAGTGACCTCCAACATGTGGCAGTCCACAGACAGCTGGAAACGGGACCTTCTCCTGAGCCCTCTTGATGCTGATGTGGGGGCTGTGGCCTCCGGGTTGCAGGTCCGCCATGACTTTTGCATGCTCACCTGTGTAACTGACTTTTCTCTGGGTTGCAGCTGTCAGCAGGATTCTATGCCCTCAAAGTCACCGTTTCTAGCGACAATGCCTTTGGAGAGGGATTCGTCAATGTGACCGTTCAGCCAGGTGAGTTGGTGAGAGACATCAGCCTCGTGTTGCTCAGGTGATCTTAAGTTTTGACACCTGGATGACACAGGTATATATTTCATTTTTACCTTAGGCTCCACTGTATAGAAAACATGCAAGGATCATGTTTTTGGCAGGTTTCTTTTGCTTTCTGTATAGTGTTTGGTACTGGGGTGACAAATTATACCTTAGCCTTCTCTGCAGGATGCTTAGTGTCTCAGTTACTCTTCTCGTTGCTGGGACAAATCTGACACTCAAAATGAAGGAAGGAAAGGTTTATTTAGCTCACAGTTACTGGAGGTTTCAGTCTATACTCAGCTGGCTCCAAGGCAGAGCGGCACATGGCCAAGGGCAGCAGTTCATGGCAGCAGCCAAGAGCAAGAGCAAAATGGAGGAGTAGCAGCAACAGCGGCTACAGAGAGCAAGTCTGTCTCCCTTAAGTTGCATTCAGGTTGTCTGCCCCAGGCTGGGAGTAGTACTCACACCCATAATCCTGGCAGCACTCACACCTATAATCCCAGCAGCACTCACTCATGAGTTGATCACAGACTCTAGAAGTCTGCCCCACAACTGCGTGAGGCCTTGTGGGGGACAACTAGACACAAGCCATAGTGCTTAGTCTGGCCCCATGATTCAGTTCTTTTTTTTAAATTTTATTTATTTATGTGTGTGTGTGTGTGTCCAGCTCAGCCCACCAGGGGGCGGGGCTGGCTGGCATGTGGTGCTGGGGATTGAACCTTGGTCCCTGTGCTTTGCTAAGCTTGTTCTAAGTAGGTGCTTTAGACCACTGAGCCATCTCACCAGCCCCCATGATTCAGTTCTAGAGAGTGAGAATTTAAACAGTCACGTAGGGCACCTCGGGTTTGCAGCCCATCACTACTTGCAGATTGAGCGACTTAGAAATAGGCTGCAGCGGGCACAGCCCTGGCTGGATGACATGTTTGCGGCCTGCACACTGGACATGACATGAGCCAACCTCCCATCTCTGCCACCCCTCGGCGGGCTGTAGGCTCAGCCTGTGCAATCAGCATGGTGGTGGCAGTGGGCACATTCAGTCAATGATTGGAGACCCAGCTCGTCGCAGGAGGCGAGGCTGTTACCAAGTCTCCTTTCCTGACACAGAAAAGTGAGCTCTAAAGTCACCCTCTGGTCATTCCAGGAAGTGAAGGGTTTCCAGAGTCCAGGCCTTTGGGATAAACTCCTTGACAGGATGATTGTAATCGGTCTGTAGAAAGCAGGCGGTCTGTTTGATTATCAACATGGGTACATGGGGCGGCCTTAGCCACTGTCCTTTTTTCTCTTACACAGCTCAGAGAGACAACCTGCCACCCGTAGCTGTTGTTAATCCACAAGCACAAGAGCTCACTTTGCCCCTGACATCGGCCCTCCTCGATGGCAGTCGTGAGTATTGACCGATGTTTCGGGTCTTCCCTGGGCCCATGCAGCCAGGTTTAAGGGGTGCTGTGCCTCAGGGTGGGGAACTTGCAGGCCAACTTGCTGATCAGTCACCATCTTCAGTTTCTTCTCCCTCCTTCTGTCGCATTGCCCTTCGGGTGCATGTCCTTGTTTAGGCTATGTTCTTTAGGGTTCAGCTGTTTGATGCAACATTAGAATGATTATTGGACAGTTTTCTTTGGATGTTTGTGACATGTGTAACTGGCAGTTTTTACTTTAAAGAACTCTGAGTGGGTTTGTCTCCTTGGGCATAGGTAGCGTTTCATTTGGTAATTTAGCCCAGAGTTTGTTCCCTGGAGCAGCGAGCAGCATGTGTGACGCGGCCCCCAGTGAGAACAGCCTCCGTACACATCCTGGGCTCGAGCTGGGTACCCTGTGTACTCGGTACCTGCGTGTTCTGTGCATTTAATCACAAAGCTAATGGTGAATCTTGCGCAAAATAAGAGTAGGTGTCCTACATGATATCATGTCTACATCTTGTGCTATGAATGATTACTACAAAGAAAACAATATGCAATGTATTAATTGTTGTAACTCTCCTACCAACCTGTTTTGAAGCTGTCACATTGCAACTTTTTCTCAATAAAATTAATTTAAAATATGAAAAAAAAGAGTAGGTGTCTTAGTTACTTTTCTCTTATTGCTGACCAAAATACCCAACACAGCAAATTAAGGAAGGAAATGTTTATTCAGCTCACAGTTGTGAAGGTTTCAGACTGTAATCAGCTGGCTCCAAGGCAGGGTGGCATGGTAAGGGGCAACTGTTTGAGGTGGCTGAAGCGAGCAGAGGCAGCAAGGATACAAGCTGCAGAACAAGCCTCTTCTCCTCCCTCACGTTGCAAGCAGGCTGCGCCACCCCTGGGGGCCGGTGTAGCGCTCAGGCCATCTCAGTGCCCTGCTCTTGCACAGGGTGAGATGTTGACAAAGGGAGGACCTGCTGAGTGGCTTAGCAAAACTTCTAAACTTCTCAAGTTGACACAGTTCTCAACATCTTAGAGTGCTAAGGGCAAGTCCTCTACACCCCGGATGTAGAACTTCCAAGCCACTTAGTTAAGCTTCTGAACTTCACAAGTTGGAGCGATGTATCAGCATTACAGAAGGTGTCCTGGTTGTTGGGAGGAAGTACCCTGTCAGCTGGCCGATGTAGGGCGCCATATCCACCCACCCACCTGCACCTATTCATTGTATTTAAAATAAAGTATATTTCCTATGGAAATATTTACAGGACAAAAAGCATTCCATTTTGACGAGCTCAGTATGACTCAGTTGTAAGACTTAGTTACTGGGAACTATCAGTCCATCACATGAATTTGTTCTTTCTTTTAACAACTTTGATGCCACTGGGTCCTTTCCAGGACTGTAATTGTGACTCTGCATAAAACAATTTTCTTTCTTTCAAATGGAAAATTTTCATGCGGGATGCAGCTTTCTCTGGATTTATACCTTAACAGTTAATGCAACAAAAGACATTTTATAAATTATGGGTAGGCCGCTGTTCACAGTGTCCATAGGAACCTGTTCATCCAGATCCTTAGGTGAAACTGTGCACAGGGTGTCACATGCTGGGGTCGGGAGGGGTTGAGGCAGCATTTCCGGGGCTACACGCCGCAGCAGCACCGTCACTGTGCCTCTGAAATATTCAGCTGCGTGGGAGCTGCCTCACTCAAATTTGGTGCATATCCAGGAGGAAAAGAGTCCTGGTAATGTAGGGAGTAGGAAAATAGCTCCCTCTTTCTATTGCATAATATACCTCTGCCATCTGTGCAAGGGTCCAATTCATATAAAGTGAATTTAAATACAGATATTCCTCATTTAACACCTTGCCTGTTCAGCTGCTATTTGAACTTATCACTGAGGCATGCTGATGGACTTATAACTCATCTTTTTTTGGTGCAGTTACATGCATCTTGTTTATAGAGCCCCAGTGTCTTTTTGTTTTGGTACAGTATGTGGTGTTTATGTAGTACTGTCATTTTTGCAATCATGCCGTGCAGTATAGCAGTTTTATGTTCTGTTATACGTTACACTAATGCATGTAAGAGTTATATAAATAAAAAAAAAGTTATCAGGCTGGAGCATCCCTTGGCTATTTCTTTGCTCAGAATGCTGTGCTGTACATACTTGACACAAATCCGGGTTTAGCAGTCAATTCAGTTAACAACCGAGTGGCAAGCGCAGAGCCGGGTCGTTAAATGAGGAGTGTCTGTGTGTGGTAAATACAATTAGTTTTTCTCTTGTTGTATTTCATCCTAGTTCTTATCTGTTAATCTTGTAGAAAGTACAGATGATACTGAAATAGTGAGCTATCACTGGGAAGAAGTTAGCGGGCCTTTCTTAGAAGAGAAGACTTCTGCTGATTCCCCCGTCTTATACTTGTCTCACCTCGTTCCTGGTAACTATACATTCAGGCAAGTGGGCCCTGCTTTGATTGTGATTTCCACCGCTTATGTTTTGACCGTGGGCTTACATCGATGTTGTGCAAGCGCTGTTTTTCATGGCAGCAAGGCCGATTCAGTTCTTGGGAGGGGGTTGGACGGCTGCCTGGGTGCACGGGTTATCTTTGTCAGTCAGTTCACATCAAAAGTGCCCGTTTCCTGATTGCAGAGGTCAGGGAGAGTAGAAGGATAGCCTCTTTTGGCCTATTTGTTTACATCTTCAGAGTGAAAGCATAGCACAGTTGTGTGATTATCTGGTAATTGCATAATTATTGGAATCTTTCCCTTTTTACAACTTTTAAAAGTCTAACAGAAGGACTGTATGTAAACTGTGTATATTTAAAGGAAAATGTTTGATGTGTTTTGACACAGGTGTTTACCTTTGAAGCTCTCACCATTGTCCATTCCCATTGTCCCCATTCCCCCATACCCCTCTCCTGCAACCCTTTCCTGCACTCTCCTCCTCAGATGGGAACTGCTTTCTGTCACTGTTAATTATTGGGCTTCTTTAGAATTTGCACTAATGGGAACATACAGGGTTTACTGCTGTTTGCCTGGTCTCTTTTGCTCAGCAAGTGACTGAGATTTGTGGATGCTGATGTCTGGACCAGTAATTCATTCCCTTTTGGCTCTGGATCCTATTTCAGTGTGTGGTGTGGAGGAGAAGGAAGACTTTCTGAACTTTCCCTTGTCTGTGGAGGAGGAGAGAGCAGGGAAGGTAGACACTCTGAAGGCTTGTAGATGATTGGAGGGAACGGCTAGGAGGGCGGTTCCTGGGAACCTGAACCTAAGGTACAGGTATGACCTGGTAGTAGAGTCCCCGCAGGAGCGCGTACACTCCTCAGTCTTCTTTGCTGCTGGAGCTAATGTGCTGTCAAGGTGTGACGGGAAAGCAGTTGACCATGATAGCAAGCCATCAAACTTTCTGCAGCATCATGTTGGGTACTATAGTGATACATTGTAGATTCTTAGTTCAGTCTCATTATTTAATGTTAGAATCTGTTTATGGTAAAATTTTGCAGTGTAAGTAAGATTTTTGGGTTGGAGGTGTGTATGTTTTGCTTTTTGGGTTTTTTTTTT